CACTGGGCGGGGGAAGCTATTAGAGCCCCCGAAGACACAACCTGCCTGAACACCCCAATACCCCCAATCACGATCATACTGGATACCAGGCTAAGATTACAATCGACCCTAGATACTTTTAGATTTTGTACCTTTCGACGATTCAGAAATACGACAGACGAATCGGCCGTGCGACGCTGACTGGTCCACCCGACTTCTTTATATTAATTTCACATTTGCGAGAATTTCACTCACCAGTTTTTTTAACGTTTTTATGCGGTCACCACATACACAATACTCATTTTCACACGAGTTAAGTGAAACCCGTGTAAAGTGCCTTTTCCGAGGCTTAAGCTTCGGTCCCAATTGCGCCAGTGCCCGTCGGGGATATAGCCCCGGCCGGACCCGGTCGGGCTCAGGAGTCGGGCGAGCATCGGCTGTCGTGGTCACAATTAAAAGTTTCCTTCAGTAGCATTTGTTAAAAATTTTGTCACCCTCTTTGGTCGGTCTCCGGCAGTCACGCGGCAGATGCTCTGACAATGTCTTGTACTGACCTATTTGTAATGCAAATTCACGCTTTTGTTGTGATCATTTGATCTGTGACGTCGCACATTTTACCGGGGTTTACGAAGTACACACCTTTATTCTATTCATTTGGTCTGTGACGTGACGAATGTGTCCCGGTGGACTGCCGGTAACCGGAGGGGTACCTCTCGGTGTTCTCACGATGAGGTCACGGCGTCTTTTTGTCAGCGGGGCCCGGGTAAGTCAGAATCAAATTCTTGTCGGGTCCCCATCGGGCCCACAAATTGCCGAGTAGCCGCAGGGTGTCCCGCGGGACAACGTAGGGTCACGCTCGAAAGTGCCATAAAACAGCCCGGGAACTACACATGTACCCGACAGGGCCCCTTCTTTCAATTGGGACCGAAGCATTGAGGGTACACGATTTGGTGGCATGGCAGGATTCGAACTCGTGACCTTTTCGGTTTGAGTCGAATACTCTGCCGTTGTGTCACATAAACCCCGCTCTGATTTGCACTAATGCTTATCGGGTACACATGGGGATCCTGTCCGAAAAAAAGGCAGGCTACAGTCGACAACCCAACCGCCTAGGGCGAAAGCATGGCATGGTCCCATCATATTGTTGTCGTGCAGTGGGACATATGGTTACGTTTAATTCATTTCTAGTTGATTTTACATTACATACATGGAGGTGAGGAAGATTTCGACTATACTTTTACAAAAATAAGTTCTCCAGTTTTAGACTTTAGCTAAAACAGAAAAAAATCGTATTTCTTGTGCCATTTACTCCAAACGCTTGTACATCTACAACTTCTTCAAGAAGCGAGAAGATGCTAAAAATGTTAGCAGTAGTTCACAGTATTTTAAATGTTTCCTGTTATTGACAATGTAAATATAGTGCAGAACAGCTGTTATGTAATAGTATATTAACCTGACATATAAATGTAATTATAGTAAACGCACGACGACCAGGCCGGATATTCTAGCTTGTTAACGCTTGGCCGCAACATCTGTTATGTAGAAGTACCGGTAGTTTGTCTATCTGAATTGTAACTGACACTGTTAACTGTTCCGAATTGTTTATGTTATTGTTGTGAGGGCTAGCCCTTTATAATAGCCTCCGGCTAGTTGGGCAGTCCTGGCTGCATACATATGTGATATCAGCCTAATAAATCAAATCAAATCCTGTTTATTCGTAACCTGTACTTAGCTTTAAAGAGAAGAAACGGTAAGGTATTTCATCTATTCGCTACGTTAGATATCACGGATTGAAATTCACCTGTATATACTAGTCAGTATTTCCTGCAGTGGGGACATTGATAGTGGTTACTTTGATGCGTCAGTGTCAGATTAGTTTTCACTTTATTGACACAACAAAAGTACAGCGACTTTCGTAAGGTCTAAGACATGTAGATATACAAACAAATATACATGGGTACAACGAAAATATCCTACGTATAAAACCATAAATGGGTCAACTAATACTACTTTCTCTAAGGTCTTAACATTCTTTGATATATTTACCTATTTGTTCACAATAAGAGTTATTGCCTTCTAAATTTATCTATAGCATGAAATGTAACAACACGATATCAATTGATATGTTTGAATTTGTTATGGATTTGTATTGTATGTATTAATATTGTATTTCCATGACCGATTATTGTAACTTAACCGAAGCATTTGTATATTATTTATGTGTATCCAGGATTATAATATACCTGAAAAGTAGGCCAAAATGGTCTAAACTGTAATTACTGGTAAACCACATGAACCACCTCCCCTTAGACCCTTAGAAACCGACTGAGACCGAAGGGTGTACTGATACTTTCTTTACGTCTTCAAAGTTAAATAAATACTTCGACCTCGTACAGAGGTCGCACGACACGTTTGAACTATTGAGATTCTTTAAGAAGGGGCTACACCAGCGACCCTCAGGACAGAGTTGTGGAAGGAGAGTCACCCAAGTAACAACAGGGCACTCCCTCCCCCCAGCGAGACACTGCCCCCAGGGACCGACTTGCGCAGAAGGGACTGGGTGGCCCTGAACCGGGCAAGGGCTAAGGTGGCCAGGGCAGGGGACAACCTGGCACGGTGGGGCAAGTCCACCAGTACAACTTGCAGCTGTGGAGAGGACCCCCAGACTATTCAGCACCTGATGCACGGTTGCAGGCTCGGTCCTACCTGCACAGACACAGATCTCCAGGAGGCCAATGAAGCGGCGCGGAACTGGTTCTTCTTCTTCTTGTATACTGCTGAGCCCAATTTGCATTGGATTAATAGCAGCTGCACATGTGTTAGTTACAAAACAGGTGACCGGTACAAATAAAAACAAGAGTAACTGAAGGAGGGGACACTAAGGAACATAAATAACTGAATCTGTGGGTGAAAAGACAAGACAGTGCATTTAGTGTATTAGTAGAACATATATACAGAATGTGTAAGGGCGACTCAATGCAGCAGGGTCCTCGCCAGTCCAGTTTTAAACTGGGCGAGAGACCCCGCCTCCGCCACACGAGGCTCAAGTTCGTTCCACTCTTTGATGGTGTGAGGGAAGAACGAGAGCCTGTAAAATTTGTTCCTACTCGCGATGGAAGCGTGATTGGTGCGGCGGGAGCATCGAGCCGCCGGGACAACTCTAGACGCGTGCGGCACAGAAATAACATTGTTGGTTATCTTGTACAATGTGGCAAGTCTGGCGTTCTTCCTTCGGTTTGCTAAGGATTGCCAGACAAGCTTATTAATCATGTCGGTGACAGAACTTGTACGGTAGTAGTTGTTTGTAACATACCGGGCTGCTCGTCTCTGCACCATCTCTATCCGACCCACCTGATCCTGGGTGTGCTGATCCCAAACACTGCAGTGGTTGGAGTGGACTGGCGACATGATGATGAGAAGAGGCTACAGTGTTGTGTACAAGCAATCGTATATTTACTACATGTATATATATATGTGACTGTATTCGTAACCTTTTCTTTTATCCTTTTTTTTCTTTAGTGTTCATCATAAGATTAGCAAGATGAAAATGTCCGTGTGTCTCCTGTTCCTGGGCTGCCTGGTGCTCGCCGCCGCCTTCCCCGCACCTCGTGAGGAGGACCTGCAAGGCCTGCTGACCAAGTTAGGAGACTTGGTTGATGAGCTAAAAGGTATGCTGCTTCTTCTTCTTCTTC